ATAAAAAACTATAAAAGACAACAAATCAAAAATTCAAACCCAAAATTACGAGTATAAAAATAAAAGAAATCACGAATTATTTTTTAATGCTTTTTAATGCTTCGAGATGATTTCGGTTATTTATTTTCAGCTATGCAGGTATTTATGTCACTTTTGGACCACAACATACATACAAACATACATATGCATGTATGAGTGTTATTTATAAGTTGCGCTATTGCCGCCAAAGCTTATGCAACTTGCCCGGAATTCGCCGGCTTACGTTAAAAGTGAACAAATTTCAACTAAATCACTTTTTTGTATACCCAAAATTACTGACTCGATAATAACAATTCGTCTTTGTTGATTGTTTGTTGATTTGTTGATGGTTTAAGTAGCGTTTTCTAGCTTGTTAATTGTCGGTTATTTGTTGCTGCTTGCTGATGATTTTTAAGTGGAGATATCAAAAAGATTGAAAATTAAATAGGAACTCAAAATACTCGTAAAATAAAACTGCCAAATAATAAAGACGGCTATTATGTTTTGTTCGTTAATTTCGGTTGTCTTTAGTACTTAGTTTTTTTTTTTTTTTTTTTTTTTTTTGTGGTATAACTATGAAAATTACTTCCGTGAAATCGAGATTTGAAAATTCTGAGCTTTTTGTTATGGAAATGCATAGGAGACTAGTTATTTGTTTTTTTTTTTTTGTCGTAGATTTTTTATCACTGACCAAGGTTTATCTTTGCAGTTTTAGAATAATTAAACAAATTCAAAAGTGTGACAATGCAAGCTTGTTGTTTGTGGAGTTTGCTTTTGAAAAAAAAAAAAAACAATCTTTAATAGAGGAAGTAAAGGGAAAACCCTTGAAAAAGCTGCGAGATTTACTAGGATTTTATGTTTAGCAACGTTTGAAAATTGTAATTTGATTTAATTGATAAGATAAATCACGTAAATATTGCAATATGGGTGTCAAACTAAAGAGGTTTAGAAAATTTCACTGCTAAAAATATTTTTTAACATAGTTGCCACCTAGTTGAAAAATTTTATTCAATTATCAAATTAATAAAATAAATGAAATATTACGCTACGTTTATCAATCTAAAGAGGTTAAAGAAAGTTTGCTGGCGAAAATATTTTTGTAGCGGGTTGCCACCTATTTGAAAATTATTATTCAGTTAAAGTGTTAAGATAAGGTAAATACTGTATTAATATACCTTTGAAGAAAGTGCTCGATATGTAGAATCGAGTTATTTATTTTTTATGAATGAAGCCATACGAATTTTGGAAGGGAGTAATAACACAAAAATACTTTTCAGGCGCAGTAAAGCACGCCAGATAATTGCTATTTTTTATATAAAAAGAATAGTTTGTCCTTAAACAAAGAACAAATAAATCCAAATTTCAAACTTTGTTCAACGTTAAAAGAAAATAACTCAACAAAGGGTTGTTAAAATTTCGAGCTATTTAAATTTGGATTCGATATCTAGATTTTAGATAAGATTTCTTAGAAAAGTCCATAATTTAGGCTAAGGGTAGCCAAGATGAAAACCACTGAGTTAGAGCTGGACAATGTCAAAATTTTTGCGGAAAAAAAAAAATATTTAAAATCCTGGTAGCAACTCCTAAAAATTAATAGGGGCACTTCATACAAAATTTTGATGTTGATATTTTAAGGACCACTCTACTGTAGTATACGCTAGTGTTGTGTGAGCATTTATGCTGTAAGTATCGCTTAAATTATTTATTTAATAAATAATAAATGTGATCTATGATCATTGTTACAATGAACTAACACATTTTGTTTTTATTTCTCCGCAAACAATGAATAATTTATTTATTTTTTCCTGAAATCATTTTTAAACTATAACTTTTTAAAAATAGTTAGTACATGAGTCACGAAATATGTGAATTCTCAATCGGTCGGTTAGATATGGCCAGCTGCTCCTGAGGATGACTTCAAACTGAAGTTGAAATATCGTAGGATAAAAAATAATGCAAAATCTAAAAATTGGTGTTCGATTTGCATGTGGGTTTGAGCTCGAAAAATAACACTGGTTTACAGCAAAAATGTACGCTAATTCCGAAAACCGAGTTAATGTTTTTTTTGCAACTATCGTTATTTAAATAAAAAAAATTGATTCCACTTAATCACGTACATATATCATACGAAGCAATTTAACAATCTTAATACGAAATGTAGCAAATGAGAGATAAGAGAATTGTCCATAATCCGCATATACATCAAAATTCTATAGGTCTGATAGCTTCTGAAAAATTTATTAATCATTCCAGACTTCTTGTTTTTTTGATGAAAAATTAAAAAAATTAAAACTATAACAAGGAAAAAACTTAAAAAAATAACAGTTTCTTTGTAAATCTTCTTTGTTTGTGTTAAATCCTGTTAATTAATTATTCCAAATTTTTTGTTTTTTTTTTTGATGAAAAAATTAAACTTTAACAAAAAAAATAAAAGAATGTTACTCATACGCCACGTACATATTAATTTGAGCGCTCATTCGATTTGTTTTATCCATTGATTTTCTGCACTAGTAGCTTGATTTTTTGTCTAATAGAACAATCTTTAACACAAATGAAAAGAAGTGACACAGGATGAGCTATTTTTTAATTTTTCCCTTGTTAAAGTTAAATTTTTTAAATTTTTTCCTAAAATTAACAAAAAATCTGGAATGCTTAATTAATTTCTCAGAAACTATAAGGAAGTGATGTAGAGTATATGCGGCATCAAAAAGTGATTCTACAAAGGAATTGGATGGCCATCCGATGAACAAAAAAAAAAAAAATTACAAATTTGTGATCCAGTGTAGAGTACTCAATATTAATACTATTTTTATTTTTATTCATTTATTTTATTTTTTTTTTTGAAGGTGGAGTCCGCTAAAATAGCAAAGATGCAGCTTGATTAAGTAAGATTTTTTGAAAAAAAAATCGATTCATCTAGTAATTGCTGTTACAGTAGAACCTGTTTTAACATTTCCATTAAGCCCTTCAAATCCTTGTAAAAGTATATATTTAACAATATTTTAATATATTTTTAGCTTATTCTTTTCTATATAACGAATATTTCGAATTTCCAACTTTGTGCCAATTTTATAAAAATTCAACATGTTTTTACAAAAACATAAAATTTTTTATTCAGAATTTTTAGAAATGCAGTTTATTTATATTATTGCAGCCGATTAAATTGCAAGCTTCAAGTCGCTACCAAATTATGGTTGATTTTTGGCAAATTTTTTGCAGGAAAATTTTTCTATATGGAATAAAATGTTTTGCTTCATCTGCAGTACCCGCGAACTTCTCAAATAGGTACTTTCGAATGCATTGTGACGATATGTGTTTTTGTTGACAACATATTTTTATTAAAAAAATTTTACAAAAATCTTGATTTCTCATGCCCATGGTGCAAAAATCAATTTATCAGCCTGTTAAAATTTATTATGACACAATTTTGTTCGGAAAATTTGTCATTTCAAATTTTTGCCAATCTGATAAATTTTAAAATTGATTGACGAAGTTAGGCATCAGCATTTTTAAATTGAAACAATTTTTTATATTTTGATTTAGAAAATTTTAATTTTAAAATCTTTATAAGTTGTTTAAATTTTTAACGTTGTTAAAATTTTGTATAGTTTAATTTTTAAAGCATTTTTAGTTCTTTTAATATTTTTAATTCATATCTTTTTTAAATGTTTTTAATTTTGATGACATATCTTTTATTTTTGATTTCAGTTTTGTCGACATTTTTTTTTTACCGGAAGGAAAAAAGTTCGCCTACACCCCTGAGTCTAAAGTAGTTTTGCAAAGCAATTTCGGAACGGAAAGTTTTTTTTTTTTGACCGAACGTATGGGTCGCATCTCAAAGTATGATATATGGATGTTCTTGTCTCGAGGAGACATTGTGCATTATTGATTTCAAGTACCCGTTCCAGTACTTACCCATCAGATCTCAGTTCTTATCACCCTAATGCACCACCGTAATGTGAGTAAGCTAGAGCTCACCAACAATTATTAAACTTTTGCTAATATTCCAGTAGAATTACTCAAAAAAAAAAAAAATTGAATGAGTGAGTTTGCCAAACAAAAAATAGCGAATTGCCCTGCAAAAATATTTAGACTTAGGGTGGAATTTCGAACTTTTTTTCACTTTCTTTCCTTAAAAAAAAAAAGAATTACAACGTGGTCCAAAGTTATGCGGTAACATACATAAAAAAGAAAAATATTCGGACGAACTGATAACCTTCTACTTTTCGTGAAGTCGGTTTGAAATAAGTGGTCCACTTTGTTTTCGATATAATTGCGACTTTACTCTTTTTGGACCACCCTAATATACACATCTGGTAATATTTGCGATTTCTCGAATTCTCACTCTATAAAGACGCAAAAAATGTTTAATTGCCCAATAAAATTAGTGGACGGCTATAGCTATCAATAAAAAAATTTCACAGATTTGGCAGTACAATAACATGCATGCATATCTATATTGTTTTAGCGTTAGGTCATTTTCTCTTATCAAAAGCACGTTCAGCGGAATCTTAAGTGATTTATAACGGCGGGTAGCTTTTATTACCGTTTTGTTTTTTTTTTCTTTTTAACAAAAATTATTTTTTATTACATTACACAATAATCAACACTTTATAAAATAGTTTCATTTCATTGCTAAGTTTGCGAAATTCAACTGTTTAACGCGAATTCACTTGTGTGAAAAAACGGCCGATTAATAGATATACATATATATGTATCTATATATAAAAATCGTTTCGTCTTTTGCTTAACGGCGTTGGCGCTTACCAATAACACCGCCACCTATGAATCGTCCCTAAGAACTGCCAATATTGTGGTATGCAGCGAACGCAGATACCCATACACCCACGCCCGACGATTGTAAATCTTATGAAATGCTTAATCGGTCTTATCTCCTATATACGCCACATTACTTAAGATAAGCTGTTGTTGTTGTTTTTTTTGTTTGTTTTTTTGATTATAAACTAATTAACTGTGCTTACACTTTGCGCTTTGGCGACTGTGATGGCTGCAAGAACTGTTGGCTCTGGAAATTGTGGTGTTGGTCCACCAAAAGTACATACACTTTTTCTTGGTTACAAAGAAATGCTTTAGTCTTCAAACACTACTGGCGTGTTACAATAAATTTATTTATTTTTCACTTTGAGCGAGCACTTTGTCGCATTTTGTTGTTAAACTAGTAAATTTTTTTGCGCACTTCCTTACTGATCCTTTTCCTGTAATGTTTTTCCTGTTTCACTTGAAATTCGTTATTTCGCGTTTTTCTTGTTTTCAAAATTTCAGTTGACCCACGAACCGCGCTTATGGCCGTTTAACAGGCGACTAAGTTTCGCTTAAAGCAGGTTGCTTGTATTTGAGGTAAAATGTTGGTAGCCGCGTGCATCGCTGCGATTTTATTTCGTACTACATATGCATGCATGTGTGTATGTAGGTGTTTTGCGCTGCTTTGCGTTTTGTCTTTTAGGCATTTACTGCTACTAGGTACGCGCCAGTCCGATTGTCTTTGATTTTTGCCTTTTAACTTTTGCTGTTTCACTGTGTCAATCGCTGTACGCGATCGGCGCGCGCTTCGCGAAGCTTCGCACACACTGCCTGTTGGTATTGACGCGAAACGAAGCGCAAACAGCAGCGCTGCAACCGGTGTCGTTGAGCGCGCCGGCTAAAAGCCATTAACTAACAACGCGGCATCGGCTTAATAACGATCAGCGCGATCGCGATGGCGCGCTAACAATCAGTGAAACGATTTTGGTAGACCCTAGTGTATAAGCGCGCCGCGCGCTTCAGATTATCATCGACCGCATTAACTATTTACAAAGCGATAAGCGCTGATAGCCGCACCACGTTCGCTGCAGAGCGCCAGTGTGCGCGCAGCTGCTAGCTGTTAGCACATCTGCACATTAACGACGGACGACGCGTCGCTTATTCCTGCGCCTATTTTGCTGCCTGCAGCGCGCGTAATAGTTTCAAATGCGCGGCAGCGCTCTATTAACTTTACAGAGAGAGAGAGAGAGAGGGAGAAGCAGAGCAGCAAGTAAGCACATGCGCCGCTTTTCCAGCTGTAGCGCGCGCGGCTTTTCAAACAAGTTTCTGCAAGTTCACCCGGCGGCATCGGCATCGGCATCAATGACGCTAGCGAGCGACGGCGGAAGCTGTTCGCGCCTAATCAAAACGCTAATTAATCAGTGCGCGCTGATGTTGGTAAATAGTTTGGTTTTTTTTGTGTGTTTTACCAACTTGGGTGGTAGCGCGCTACTTTTCTAAGGTCTTATCATTTTTTGCAGCGATGCTATTTTAATTATTACAATAACATCATGCGGAATTAAACTGAATACCAGAGTGATAAATTTCGTGTTTTATTTAGCGGAAAGCTAATAACTACTCATTTCTGTTGTTGTTTTATTTGCAATACAAGATCAATGTCTTTGTGAAGACATAATCAAAAATACAAGCTATGCTCTAAATTGCGTGACATCGACTTTATTGGAAAGTTTTTTTTTTGTGTTCCTCTTTTTTTTTGCTGCAAAACATCACGCCTATATTTGTTCTTAATGACGAATCGCTGACTAGCATCGTGTTCGGGTCTTTTTACATGGTGACATTTTCTTTTATTAAAACACTCTGAAGTTGTATTTATTAATTAAAAATTGCTAGACACTATTCAATGCAAATAGCTATCAAGTCGATGAGACATACATATGTACATATGTATGTACACAGTAGACACATACTTATTTAGTTTGTGTGTATGATTAATGGAAAAATCACAGAAACCAAGTCAGCATGTAAATGCCTTCAATGCAGGAATTTCATTTGGTTTTTTTCACGGTTGTTTGTTTTACTTATAGCCTAGAGATGAAATAAAATTTGCTAGAAAATTAAATAAGAAACTATGCATAGTATTAACTTACGAAACTTTTGCGAGGTAAAGATCTTAATTAATATTCAAAATTTATTGAGAGACTTTTGTATACTGATAAATGTATTCCCATAAACTGGAAATGCCTCGAGTAACACGAATCTCGACGAGAATTCCGTTTAAAGTCGTTTTGTAAAAATTACATTTGTCATTGAAGCTTGTTGTTCCATGGTAGAACTTGCAATCCTCTTTCGATTGCTCGGTGTATACCCTCTTACGAGTTTACTATTACTCCCCCTTTTTTTGCAGGCAGGGGGTCGAAACTGCCTATTACATCATCAAAGCTGTCGTCACAACAAAGCTATGTCCGGAGACTAAAACACTCGCCTCGAATTGGAACCACCGCTCACCCTGCGATCACTAATCGCATTGCTTCAGATTGGCGTTCCATATTTCTCATTAACTAAGCCGTTTCGCTTATAACTAGTATTGCCTCGCCGGACACTGTGCGGTACACAGAGGCTACTCTTAAGGCTGCTGTGCGATGTGCTCTGGAAAGTATCTTGCAAACGGTTATTTTTCTGTAGGGTGTCAGCCCAAATGTCCGCTCCGTATAACAAAATATTTAAGATTGTTCACATTAGAAGTTTCCTTTTACTTTAGGTGGCTCCACCAATTTGGTCATTAATCTGCTAAGGTGAGCCGTTGCCGTTGCCGTTCATGCTTTTGTGGCGGCGTGCTGCATTTATGCCCAATACGTTAGGCTGGGCTCTAGCCTTACGCCTAAGTACTTTATTATTCTTTGCGTTCGGTCAGTTTCATGCTCACTACTAAGGAAATATATTATAAAGTATTAGCTCGGTTTTTTTCTTCTGCAATTTTGAGACCGTGTGGATCGAGCTACTATGCCTGTATTCTTATCATAATCTGATTTCATTTGCTGCTTGCAAGTTCGGTTTCTCGTGCGGTGATAATATAATATTTGGTCGAAACTGACGTTCCATCGTTCTGACCCAAGAAGGAAACCTTGTGCTGCGCATGACGTGATCGTTATTTGCCAGGGTCCATTGGTAGCTTCTCACCATGAGTCTAAGGTACGTGGTTTTGCGCTCTTGGAGGCGTTGCGAACGTCTAAAGTTGCAAGCGGGACTAAATGGCATTTTGTGTTGGTATGCGGTTTCCATTGTCTTCACTAAGGCTTTCATGATGCATTTCTCACAGTTTGCGTGGATTCGATGGTGCGCGTTTTGTTAAAATTATCGCAGACAAGGTTAAGTTAGGTTAGGTTAGAAAGGCGCGTATGAATTACCTAAGGATTGCGAATCGGAGGAAAGGTTCCGACTAGTCCCGTCCAGTTTTGTTAAGGGAAATTCAGGAACTTTTATTTTTCTTGTGACCAAGATAAGATCGGTTTTATAAGGGTTAAATTCTGGCCATTTTGTTTTACCCAATTGGCAACACTGCCCAGTGCCGATTCCATAAGATCACTAATTGTTGGTACTTTCGTTCTCCTAACTTTAAAGATTTCTAACAGTTCGTTTAGTACCAAGATCCACTGCAGGGCTGATAAGACCTCTCCCTGCGGAGTTCCTCTTATTGTTCTTTTAATTACGCACCCGTGACTACAGCTGCGTTGACTACTCTGCTTTTCAGCATCGATTCGATCCACGCAACTATATTCTGCTGTATGCCGTGCCTCTCCAGGGCCCTACTAGTTCCTTCCGTTTCGACGTTGTTGAAAGCCCCCTCATCATCTAAGAAGCTGGGTAGGGTGCGATCCCTGTATTCCAGTGACTTTTTAGTAGCACCGAACACTTCGTGGATCTAAACTGCCCTTCCGATTGGCATGCTGCCTATGTCCATTGTGTCGATGAGGGTACTTTCCCCTATGAATAGGTCAATAAGTCTTTCAAGTGTTTTGAGTATGAACGATGAGAGACTTAGTGGCCTAAAATCCTTTGGGGAGGGGTGATTTGGCTTCCCTGCTTTTAGAATAAATATAACCCTTAGCTCCCCCTAAGCTTTGGATAGTACCCACCCGCCAAACATCTTGTAGATATACTCATAAGATACCAAACTTTCAAAGGAGTGTTGAAACATGGCCGGAACTACCCCCTCCGGCCCTCCTTGACTTGTAGCGGTCAAACTTTTTTATAGCCCATGGGTAGATGCCTGAAAGCTATCTAAAAGGCCCGTTCACCCAAGGAAGTGTGCGTCCATCAAAGTTTCTAAGGATTCCTGGCTGGAGTCGGCCCAGAGCCATCTGGCCTGCTGATACTACCTATTGCCGAATCGGTTTTAGAAAGTATCTTGCGGGGCCTTAATGCTTCATTTGTTGACTCCAATGTTCCCCAGAACTTCTGCCGGGCATCTTTCTTTGCAGCCCCTTAGTTGACTTTTGTAGTCGTTAAAGCTTTTCCTATAGTTTTCCCAATCCTCTTCACGACGGCTACATTTGGCCCTATTGAAGAGTTTCCTACCCATCGATATGCGCTGTCCTAGTTTAGCACTCCAACAGACAGCCTTTGGCTTGGTGCGTGGCCTAGCTACAGGACTGGATAGCTTGTATGCCTCAGTTAGATGGTTAAGTGATCGATCTTTGTTGGCAATCCCACGTGGGATCCATCCTACTACACCTTTCTCAATCCGTATTCCTAGGGTTTCGGTCCGGCTTGGATAGTTCTACCTCAAAGTCAATGTTGAAAAGTATCCTACTGTGGTCCGAAAATTAACACGTTTTGGATACCCTCCAATTACTAACATATCCGGTAGTTGAATCTGAGGCCAGTGTTACATCTATCAGATCTTCTCTAATTCTATTACGGAACGTTGGCTGATTGCCATTGTTGCATACACCTAGGTTACTTGACACGATAAAATGAAAGATAGACTAACCTCTTCCATTGGTGTACGTGTTGCCCCAAAGCTCATGATGGCTATCGCAGAAAAAGTTCGTATTAGCTTTGGATGACACGTGAGCGAAGCTTCAGTCAGAGTTGTGTTTCCATGATTAGCAGATCATTCTCATGTAAGCCCAGTTTAAAGCATGCTGTATACGTTTAGCATTCTACTAGGTCGACGTTTTTTCAGAGCAAATAATAATGTAGGTCCTTTCACTGTAGACAGCAATAATCTCAAATAGTAACACTCGACATTATTTGGATGAACAGTATATATGCATACGGACGAATATATGTATACCTGGATGCTTTCTTCTATTGAGCTTCTCTGAAAGTAATAATTCTTTATTTAAAAAATTTAGGAATTTTTACTATCAACCTGTAAAATCTTTTCTACCCAATTTCATAAAAAAATAATGAAGACTTTAGATCAGTGATGCTCAAAACAGCGCCCGCGAGCGAAACCCTTCAGAGCTCTCTGTAGATTGTATACGAACTTTAGATTAATGCTTTTTAAATCGAACATTTCCATGAAAATGTTACGTTATAAAGTTTTTAAAATTACTTAATTTTTTATGAA